CTTTCCAAGAACGATTTGAACACCCTGCAGCTTTCGGTGCGATGCCCGAAATCCCGGTGATAGGAACACCTAACCTTTTGATCACGGGTGGAGGGGTCGCTCTGCATCCTGGGCGGCCATTTGAAGAACGGCTCGTGCTTGATTTTATGGAGTAACTTGAAGATGGGTTCCCTGAAAACAGTGTGAACTCCTCTGGACGAAGCCCCTGGATGGGGCAGCAATCCCTTTCGAGGAATATCTTCTCGCTCCTTCTCTTTTCTCTTAGATTGGAGGACTCGGCCTTTGCTGCTTCCCATCTCGTCCTCAACCCTCGAGTACTTGTTTATCCGGGCCATTAGTTCCCCCATATCCGAGGGAGTCTTCTTGGTCAGGGATCGGTACAGGTCCGTGTCCCTTGCCAAGCCGAGCCGGAAAGATGCTGCCGCCATGACCTCCGAGCAGCCTTCTATCTCATTAACCTCTTTCCAGTATCGGATGGCGTACTGGCGAAGAGTCTCGGATTCCCTCCGTCTAAGGGTCAGTAATGATCCGATGTCTTTGGGGCGCTTGCTCCCCGTAATGAATCGAGTCAGGAACTGCCTAGTCAATTCCTTCCAGGACCCAATACTGTTTGGGGAAAGCGCCTCGAACCATTTCATCGCAGAGTCCCCCAAGCTCATAGGAAACACTCGGCAGAGAAACCGTTGGTCCGAATGATAGAGGGACATCATCTGCTTTTATTGCCTGATATGGGCTTCGGGATCGAACCGCCCGTCATAGGTTTTGAACCGCGGCACGACAAATTTTCTTGAGACCTCCATCTCACTGATCTCCCTTGTAAAGGGTGTTTGCATGACTTCGTCGTCGGCCTCATCCTGGATAGCCTCACCCTTTCTCCTGGAGTCTAATCGGGCTCTGAGATCAACTTCTTCCCTGGCGGGATGCCTTCTGAAGTCCTTGAATTCATCGGTAAGCCCCTCATTTCCTGGGCGCCGGGTGGATTGGGTTGAGTCCTCCTCGGATTCATCTCCTTTCCTCCGTCTAGACAAACCTCGCCGGAGGTCGTCCAGGGCCAATGGCCTTGCTTTCCTTGAAAGGTTGTCATGATGGTGCTCGGTGGCTCTGGGTCGCTTTGGGGCCCTAGAGCTTTCTGCTTTGTTGTTTAGGTGGTTTCTTAGGTCCTTCGTTTCCGCCTCCCGGGTGGGAAGCCCACGGGAAAAGAACGAATCCCTAGACCCCCCACCAGAGGCGGCAAACTCGTCGAGCCGGCTCAGGACGTTTACGTTGTCCTTTTTCAGCTGTCGTAATCTATCACCAAATTTTTCTTCAATCACCTCCGCCAGCTGACGAGCCAAGGGGGCTGATCCCCCTGACCTGATCCCCATACTGGTTTGAGGGGTAACCCCTCTTGACCGAGTAGAGGCACTTTTATTCGTATTGGTGTGATCCCTCCCTCCGTGATGACAGGGAGCTTGTAACTCGAGACTCCTTTGGTGGGGTCATTTCCCTTTCTGTCGAGTGTTCACCATGGTCACTGTTCTTTATAGAGAAAAAACTAGGAAAACTAGTCGTTTCCCACAGACGGCGCCAGATTGTGCGTGCAAGATCCTGCACAATATAAAAAACGAGAACAGATCTCTCCCTTGGTGAACTTCGAGTGAGCCAGTTGAGTGACCAACCACGCTGCTTGGAACAGCCTGCGAGGTCCGGTGGTAACCTGGAACGGCAACGGGAGACCCTGGGGGAGCGGAAGAACGATCCAGTAAGGCTGAAAGAGGTTCCTGGAACAAAGAAGAACAAGTTAGAAGGGCGCCGGAGTGTTTTCCGGCGTATCCCCTCCGACGATCTAGTCAGTCTTTGAGAAAGAGAGAGGAAGGAGAAAACACTGAGTGTGTATTGTAGTAAAGAGTTTTTTGTTGCATACCCGTCTTGCCTTTTGCAAGGAGTATTTATACCTCAAAAGCTCATGATTGCTGTCAGTGTAGTCAGTAGGTGATCATTAGGTACAGGCAGTGTGCGCACTGATTCTGATGAGGAATGTCTTCTCTTCTTAACTGCTCGGGGTCCCGAGCAATCAATGCTGGGTCATCGGGATGCCGACGGTACAATGTACTCCTCTCGGGGAGGATGCAATAAATGCTCTGTATTAGGAGCATTTATTGCCTTTCATTTCCGAACCTTACCGCATTGAATGCGGTCTCATAAAGGGAATGGTGCATTTAATTGTTTGCTTTCCCATGTCGCGTGTCAGCAACGGCATGCGATTTTTCTGTCTTCGATGTGATATCATATGCCACGTGTTCATCCCCTATTGGCTGTGACACCTGTATTCTTGTACGTGCTGACATTACTTGTGTAAGACGAGGTCATGATGATTAGCCTAGAATAGCCTAGGCTAATGACCTGTACGTCAATAGCTTATCCTGGAGTAGAGGAGGCGTCCTGGACGGGTACTCCTCGGCACCGAGGGAAGGATCATCTCGGCACCGAGGTAGGGACACCGACCGAGGAACCATATCAGACCGAGGCCACGTGTCGGTGTAAAAACATACTGAATGCATGATCCTATATGCTAAGTACCTCGGGGGGCGAGAGCCTTGTGCGCCGATGGTGCTTGATCTTAGCAACAGTGTTTTAATAATACCGAGGACACGTGTCTTCTTCATAGAGTACTTCAGAAAAGTCCCATCAATTCTAAACAATTGTAGTATATAACCAGGTGTTTTACTGTCTGATTGTGTGCGCAGCTTTAGGCTTGCGGTTCGTGGCATAAGCAAGTATGGGCTTTCAAACAGCTGTTGAGGTTCACCCATCGACATAAAATCTATTAGTGATGAAGTTTTGAACTAATTTAAAACATATTGGCGATGGATTTTTAATAAATAAATATTACTTATTTAAAATTCCGATATCTTAGCTTAATGTTCTGTTTGGTATGATAGAAAAATATAAGGATGAAAAGTTGGAATGACGAAAAATTGAAGAAATAGATAAAACATCATATTTAGTAAGAAAGAAAATAAGAAGGATAAAAAAGTGAATAAATGAGATTTTTTTTCAACTCACCAAAATCAATCCCTCCAAAATTGGAAGTGAATTGAAAATTAATTATTTGTGTTGAAATATATCTCTATTTTTTTATATATCATGTATACATTAATTTCATATTATATACAATAATAAAATATGTATTTATATTTATAAAAAAAACCATTTTACCAAGCACAAAAAAAAAATTAATCATTTTTATTTTTCATTCATCCTATCAAACATAAAGGAAGAAAAATGTATCTCTCTTTCTTTCTATTCTTATCAAATAAAGCATAAATAAATTATAAAAGAAATAGAAATTACGTTTGACAGCAAAAACATAAAAAGAGCGACGCTTTCGTTGCTTAGATTTATTATGGATGAGGCCCACCACATATACAATAGGAAACACCCTTCTCTTAATAGGTTAAAGATACAAAAAATATAATATCAACTACATCTTATTTTTTGTTCAATAATTTCAACTAAAATCGAAGCACCTTAGCATATACCGGAGAGAAATTCCTAATCACTTCGTCGCTCGAAAATCTTTTGGCAAACTTCAAAACCAAACTTGTAATATTTAAAAAAAAAAATTGTTTGAATTGAGAGGCTTTTCTTCGTATAATTATATTATTTTTGTCATAAAAATTGTGTTGGTGTCCAGAAGATAACTTCGGAGGGTACTTTGGGCAATGCAATTCCGTTTCTCATATGGTGGTGATGACGACAGGATGAAACCGTAACCCAAAAAAGCGTTACAGTGGGGCGCTTTCCTCTTTCGCGGGAAAGTACTATTTGTTCAAGAGGTTTACAACTTTATGCCACGTGGGTCAGTTACGGACACAGAGAGTTGCGCATTCCCATATTTTCTCTTATCTTATTTGTGCAATTTCTTGCCTGTATGGCACTCAGACCGTCACCACCACTGTTTGCACCAAAATAGTGACATGTGGCTTCTCCCCCCCCCCCCCCCCNAGCTACTTATTTATAGAACGTGCGCACCACGAAAGCGAGTAACATACAACACAAGAATCGTGTGCACTCTTTGAAAGCAATAGAACAAGCATAGGCCAACCTAAAGTTAAGTTGAGTGCTCTATGATCCTAGTTAAAAACTTGGAAACCGCCATTGTCGTAAAAATGAATCGAAAACTGCCTTGTATAGTCACTGTTCATATCTCTACAATGGAGACGATGGTAGCAATCAAATCTAAGACAACACAACCATCATATAACCCTCATATCATACCGACTTCTAAGAGGACCGAGTGTGAGGTAGAAAACAAAATCCTGCTATTTCCTCACTAAGTTGAAGATATAGAGACAGAGTGGATGTACACCCTTATACTAGACAGCTAGTAGTAGTAGTGATAGCTGAAGTTTTCAACCCAAGTTATAACAGGGTCATTGCCATGAGGCCATTTCATTTATAGCTGTACATTTTTCTACAAATCAAATCAATCCCTCTGTCAATATGAACTGGAAAGATAAAGAGGCTTCCAAACATTCCACAGATAGATATATCACACCATTATGTCAATCTAATTAAGGGTACTTGATCATATGACAACAATCATTTAAAAAAAACCGGCACTAATACTAAGGAACAGTTCTATTAACTTCCCAGATTGAGCTGAGCGTCATAGAAGTTCCCTCAACAAGAATAGATATTGCTGGTCACGGTCACAAAAGTTCGGAGCCATTTAACAACTATTTCAGACCAACTTAAAAAGGCTGTAACTTTTAGCAGGATACAGTAAGAAGACGTCTTTTAAAATCTTTTTTTTTTTCCTAATACGAGGTTCTAACAATTTTTTGTCCTTCCAAACACACTGAAGATGATTCTAGGTGAACGTATGAAATCCATATAAGAACCCAAAAAGGTTTGAGGCTGGAGTCCAAAACATTCCTCCCAGAATTTTTTTCGGTATATCATTCGAAAATGAAGATCAAAATGCCAAACAGACTGAGAAAAGCACACCCTTATTTACCTAACGGAGGAACCATCATTTACAACCCCGTGCTTGACAAATACTTTTTTCCTTTTTCTTACAGCAATCATAAATGCAAGCTTAATTGTCTGAACTTTTGGAAGGGGTAATTCAAATGCATCATTCATTTTGAAAGAATCCCACACAACATTATTTAGTAAACTCAACTCAATTCCAGAAATAAGTTAAGGGCGAGCATAACGTACACAAATACGCTGCTGGATGGGACTCCTACAAGAAGGGCAGTCCTTCATTCCTTGCTTCTCGTGGAGCTCATTGCATGTTGTGCAGACCACCTGATGGGCACATGGGATGAAAACCACAGACATCTCCTCTGATAGGCACATCACACATTCCCGCTCGCGTTTCACCCCTTCATCACCAGAATAGTCCTTAAAATCTCCCACAATTTTTGAAATATAAGGTATCTGGGACTCCTTGGGAGCCGGAGCATTTTGCAAGTCTATCAGTCTGCCAGCATAACTTCCATCAATGCCTCTTTTTAGAGCAGCTATTTTTAAAGAGTCTGTCTTTAGTCTCAACTGGGATATTTCTTTCTCAAGCTTCTCAATAGCACTTTTGTATTTCTGCAGATTGCTTTCAGCTTTCACTGTGATCATATCCTCCTTTGATTTGGCTGAAGCTTCAATCTGTTCTCTTTCTTTTTTTAATGAACTGGTCTGTGTAAGCAATTCTTCCTTTGCCTTTTCTTCCTGCTTCCATACAGCCTGCGAGATTTTAACCTTTCAATGAGAAGGCATGCAGTGGTAAAACCCAAAACAACAAGAAAACTCATGTGGGATGGGAAGAAAGCTTTTGCAGCAGTTTGAAGCAATACGCTTTTGATGCTTTTACAAAAGTGCACATCAAAGAGACGCTGCTAAAACCTTTTTTTGGTGTATGGATCAAGTTTATTTTGGTTCCCTTCCACGATTAGGCTTTCTTTAAGACGGAATTATAGGAGAATTTGCCAAACTAAACATGGTATGGGGTTAGTACTCCATTTGGTCCTTATTATTCCAAGTACTAAAAGAGTTCGACTGGGTATATACTTAACCTTTGGCATTGCTTGCACAAATTCATTACCCTTAGATTCGAACCCACAACTTGAGGTTGTTAGCCCAATACTTTTATCACTGCCCATTCACTTCACCGTTACACTTATCCCTCATTGACCAACGCTCATAACCTGGTTTACTCCTTTAAGAAAGGAAAATTTCAAGTCGTTTCTCAAAAAGAAAATTGTCAGAACCAAATGTGAATCACTTCTTAGCAAGAACATTCATGTATTGTGAATATAATCCTTGAATGTGTATCAAGTTCACCAATACATAACAAATCATTGAAGAATGTCTCAAATCCCGGCTGCATTAGACTGGCTCCACAAATCCTTTTAACCTTCTCCCTATGTTAGGTAATGTCAAGCATTTACCATTCGGAAGTTAACAGAACTCCTCTTACAATGCCTCCAACATTTATCATGCATGCCACACAGAAATGCAACATTAAAGCCTTCTGGTTTCAATTTGGGAAAGTACCGTGGACCAGAAATCAAATTGATTCAACAGTTATACCTCGCCTTTATGAATTTCCTGTCACAGTTGTGTTACATCTTCTGATCATGCAAAGGGTGTAACTGATCTAAATGTTGAAGAAATCAAAATCAGGTCAGTATGTTGTAAACTTTCACTGCACATTTCTGACAGTTGTTGGTCCTACCCATCCTGGCTTATATTTTTGCGTATGTCTATGTCTGTGTGTGTGGTTGGGGTTGGGGTGGGGTACGAAAATTTGTAGTAATGCTTGAAATCTAACAATGCATGAACATACCTCATGTTGATCCCGGAGATCTTTATCTCGATCCAATTCCTTCTGCAGCTTGGCCAACTTTCTTTTCTCAGCTGCTAGCTCCTCATGAAACAAAGTCTTTTGTTTCTCCCATGACTGAAAGTTCATCAGTGTCTTTTTCTCCCTTTTAGACACCTCCTGACAGCTTGCAGCTGACTCCGCCGCCCGTAATTTGGCAACCTCCATCTCTTGCCTAAGTGCAGCATTCTCCACCCCAAGCCTACAAACAGCGGTGTTTGCTCTGTCCACCTGCCCACTAGCTTTACATAAGGCATTTTCCATCTCAGAAAGTTTTTTCAAGGTGTTCTCCTCCAACGCTTGCTTTTCTTTCTTGAGCCGCTCCACTTCTTCTTTCTCTTGCCTAAGTGTCTTGAGCTCAGCCTTGTCTTTGCTCAGCCTACGAGTAGCCTGCATAACCTTCTGATTAGCCCATTCAGTCCACTCTTGAAGCTGATTTTGCAGTTCCCGCACCCTTGAACCCAGCTTCAGAATTGTTTCATCCTTCTTGTCCAGTGGGATCCACTGCCCCAATGACTTGTCAAACAGTATCCCAGTATGATCACAATTAGGAGCCTCAGCATTACAGCTGATGAGCATCGGAGCAGAATTGCTTTGTGAAGGCAGTGAGAGAGAAAGCTCAGTGTCAGCAGATGATAAGACAGGTGGGGTAGAGATTGTTGGTAATGCAGATGGGATATTGGTTTTAGGTAATATAGAAGTACAATTGCCATTAGCGGTTTCCAAGCTAATTGTTGAAGGGGGAGGGAGCTCGATGTTTGTTGAGAGATTGTGGTTTGAAATGCCTTGGGGAACATCCACTCCAACTGCATTACTAATTTTTAAGGAGGTGCCCTTAACAGTGACACCTGTGGCTTCTGACACAGATTTTAGTTTCTTATCCAAAATCAATCCACCAAAACTACTGAGTTTCCCAGCTCTGGTGGCCCCTTTGGAACCATAGGTACGGTGGTGTTTCTCCAAATGCATTGATTTCTGTCGAAGTATATATTCCCTCCTAGCAGTACCAGAAATCTTTCTGCTTGTCCCAAATTTTTCTTCAGGAACTGGAGAATGGGATGCTCCTGATAGACTAAGGGATTTATCAGTAGCATCAGATGTAAAATTTGGGTAGTCTTTCTCCAGGGCAAGTCTATTATGAGCAAAGGAAGTTTTTGGTTTTAAGTTCGAAATCCCTGCCATTGTGGACTCGGCTTGCAAACTAGGGGCACAAGAAATTGAAGCCATGGTGGGTGTCTCAGAAGGACAACTATGATCACAAGCAGTTGAAGAATTTGGTTTACAGGTATCTGAAAGGTTGAGTTCAAAACTTTTTGATTCTGTTCTCAACTGGGGGTGGCCAGAAATGGAGGCATTCCGATTTGGAGCTCCATCACCAACTAAACTATTCAAGGGATCACAATCCATTGCACAAGCATGCGTCACATTCAGGTCACATATCAACAAGCACCACATGGCATCCCCAGTGCTGAAGAAAGGCCTAACCTCACGAAGAACGCAAACCATTTCTGCCAATATATACTTCTCCATTTGCTGTAAATCTTCAAAATATTGTTCCCTTGATGGATCAAAATCTTGATCACTTTTAAGAAATCCTAAAGTATTGTCCACTATATTCGACACTGTGTCTTTACACCCATAACATAGGCCAGACCTTAAAACAGCCTTGGTAGCAACTTCTTCACTATAACCAGAAGCAACTATTTTCTTAATTGCACTCTTGAAAATTGTGTCCAAGTTGCTCAAAACAAGTTCTTCTAGCTGGGATTCTGTAAGATCACTCCAATCAGCATCATGGAACTCATCTGTTGCTTCTATATCTTCTCTTAGCCGGCTGGGCTGCACCTCAGAAGATCCTACTGCACAAGACAATCCAAGGTCAAGTTTCAGAGCATCGAAATGGTCCTGGTCGACACTACACATGTCACACCCATCGAGGTGTCCATGAGTCGGGATGATCTCAAATTTCTCGGCCGAGAATTCATAGCTTGCACATGCATTTTGAGGTGACAAGATGAACTTATTAGGGTCAGCTAAAGGCGGATCAGCCCTGAATTTCCTCTTATTCCTACTCCCCTTTTCTTGGACTGTTATAGCAGGCGACATTTGACTGGAATTACCACAGGCCTTAGCAACCATTGATGCCATCTATAACCTGCACAACAGAGTATCTTTCATTAATTTCACCAAATTTAATCGGCTACATATCATATGAATACCAATGTACATAAAACGAGTTATCCAAGGAGGATACTCAATACCTGATTGTCTTATTAATTAAAACATTCATAAACCAGCTCAACCAAACCATCTACTAACAGAGAATGCAAATCACCCATATAAATATGTAATCCACCATCAACAACAAAGAAAAAAATTACTTCGAACCCATACCAGTTATTCGCTAAGTATCACAATTAAGAAAATTGATCAGATTTTCTGCATCAAAAGCACGAATTCATCATCAAACGAGTGATATCCAGAAACCAGATAAGTAACAATTGACCACTTACACTATACCCAATAATTTTCCAACCAATCCAAAACCATATCAATGCTCAGAATTAAACCTTCGATCAAAATCAAAAATACAAAAAGTTACAGAAAGATTAAAGAAGATACATTCCACCGCATGTGCATAGAAGATCCCTAGTAAGATTGAGAAGATATTAGATTTATCGTTATGATAAAAAATCGATCAGACATACCAGATTTGAGCTAAGGTCGGAGCAATCAACAATTACGATAAATCTCGTAGTATCGGAGGGAGTGAAGAAAATCGCTAGTTCTGTTCGATCGTTTTTTATTCTTTCTGCAATAGAGCATTGAACGTCTCTCTCTCTCTCTCTCTCTCTCTCTCTCTTATATTGGGAGAATTTTATTATTTGTTTAGGAGTTTAGTGTTAACCAAACCTTGTAACCAGAGTTAGTTATATGTGCCTGATGGAAATAACCTTGGTTAAGAAATATCATGAAGGGCATTATTATAAAATTGAATAAATATTAAATACTTCATTTTTTTTAGAAATCTATGTTAATAATACAAAACTGTCAACTTAATTCAGCACAGTAACGGTTTAGATTGTTTAAATTTGATGGTTTATATTACGATTCAGATCTTAATCTTTTTATCAGGGTAATTCATTGAAATTAAAACCTTTTAATCATGGTAACTAATAAATCCAACCAAATTAAAGAAAGTTACCTAATCGAGAAAATCCAACCAAACTTATTTATTTAGAGCATGTCTAACCGTGGTTTTTATTTTAGAGAGAATCATTTCTAAAATAGATAATATTTTTAATAAAAAAATTATAATATAGGGTGAATTTTTACACACTGTTCTAATAGGATTCTCTATTCTTATTATTTTTATCATTTTATGTTTTGTCATTTTTAGTAATAAATTTGACTTCTCTCATATTTTTCATCCATTATTTAATTGAGGTACGCTTTATCCTAAATGTATTGAAAGAAAAGATAAATATATATTTTTTTTATTCCAAAAAAATAGAATAGAGAGCAAGTTTAAAGAGTCAAATTGGACTCTTTATTTTAGAGAGTTTAATATAAAGAATCAATTAAAAAATAAATTTTAAAGGTTCAATCTCTATAATAGAGAATTGAGTAGGAATATATAATCTATCGAGTCTAAATAAATCCATATGTTATGAGTTTGAATTTTAACAACTTTTTGACTTCAGACCATGAAAAATTTATCCTTTATAAATATTATAATCTCAACGTGGATGACTTCCTTTGATTGGATCATGAAAAAAACTAATCAAAGTGTGCGTAAACTGATCCAAACACCTATGACCGTTGAAACAAAAAAAAAAAAANCTTCACTATAACCAGAAGCAACTATTTTCTTAATTGCACTCTTGAAAATTGTGTCCAAGTTGCTCAAAACAAGTTCTTCTAGCTGGGATTCTGTAAGATCACTCCAATCAGCATCATGGAACTCATCTGTTGCTTCTATATCTTCTCTTAGCCGGCTGGGCTGCACCTCAGAAGATCCTACTGCACAAGACAATCCAAGGTCAAGTTTCAGAGCATCGAAATGGTCCTGGTCGACACTACACATGTCACACCCATCGAGGTGTCCATGAGTCGGGATGATCTCAAATTTCTCCGCCGAGAATTCATAGCTTGCACATGCATTTTGAGGTGACAAGATGAACTTATTAGGGTCAGCTAAAGGCGGATCAGCCCTGAATTTCCTCTTATTCCTACTCCCCTTTTCTTGGACTGTTATAGCAGGCGACATTTGACTGGAATTACCACAGGCCTTAGCAACCATTGATGCCATCTATAACCTGCACAACAGAGTATCTTTCATTAATTTCACCAAATTTAATCGGCTACATATCATATGAATACCAATGTACATAAAACGAGTTATCCAAGGAGGATACTCAATACCTGATTGTCTTATTAATTAAAACATTCATAAACCAGCTCAACCAAACCATCTACTAACAGAGAATGCAAATCACCCANGAGGAGGATACTCAATACCTGATTGTCTTAACATTCATAAACCAGCTCAACCAAACCATCTACTAACAGAGAATGCAAATCACCCATATAAATATGTAATCCACCATCAACAACAAAGAAAAAAATTACTTCGAACCCATACCAATTATTCGCTAAGTATCACAATTAAGAAAATTGATCAGATTTTCTGCATCAAAAGCACGAATTCATCATCAAACGAGTGATATCCAGAAACCAGATAAGTAACAATTGACCACTTACACTATACCCAATAATTTTCCAACCAATCCAAAACCATATCAATGCTCAGAATTAAACCTTCGATCAAAATCAAAAATACAAAAAGTTACAGAAAGATTAAAGAAGATACATTCCACCGCATGTGCATAGAAGATCCCTAGTAAGATTGAGAAGATATTAGATTTATCGTTATGATAAAAAATCGATCAGACATACCAGATTTGAGCTAAGGTCGGAGCAATCAACAATTACGATAAATCTCGTAGTATCGGAGGGAGTGAAGAAAATCGCTAGTTCTGTTCGATCGTTTTTTATTCTTTCTGCAATAAAGCATTGAACGTCTCTCTCTCTTATATTGGGAGAATTTTATTATTTGTTTAGGAGTTTAGTGTTAACCAAACCTTGTAACCAGAGTTAGTTATATGTGCCTGCTGTAAATAACCTTGGTTAAGAAATATCTTGAAGGGCATTATTATAAAATTGAATAAATATTAAATACTTCATTTTTTTTAGAAATCTATGTTAATAATAAAAAACTGTCAACTTAATTCAGCACAGTAACGGTTTAAATTTGATGGTTTATATTACGATTCAGATCTTAATCTTTTTATCAGGGTAATTCATTGAAATTAAAACCTTTTAATCATGGTAACTAATAAATCCAACCAAATTAAAGAAAGTTACCTAATCGAGAAAATCCAACCAAACTTATTTATTTAGAGCATGTCTAACCGTGGTTTTTATTTTAGAGAGAATCATTTCTAAAATAGATAATATTTTTAATAAAAAAATTATAATATAGGGTGAATTTTTACACACTGTTCTAATAGGATTCTCTATTCTTATTATTTTTATCATTTTATGTTTTGTCATTTTTAGTAATAAATTTGACTTCTCTCATATTTTTCATCTATTATTTAATTGAGGTACGCTTTATCCTAAATGTATTGAAAGAAAAGATAAATATATATTTTTTTTATTCCAAAAAAATAGAATAGAGAGCAAGTTTAAAGAGTCAAATTGGACTCTTTATTTTAGAGAGTTTAATATAAAGAATCAATTAAAAAATAAATTTTAAAGGTTCAATCTCTATAATAGAGAATTGAGTAGGAATATATAATCTATCGAGTCTAAATAAATCCATATGTTATGAGTTTGAATTTTAACAACTTTTTGACTTCAGACCATGAAAAATTTATCCTTTATAAATATTATAATCTCAACGTGGATGACTTCCTTTGATTGGATCATGAAAAAAACTAATCAAAGTGTGCGTAAACTGATCCAAACACCTATGACCGTTGAAACAAAAAAAAAAAAAGAAAAAAAAATAGATGCTCTTAGACAAAACAAATTCCTATTGAACAGAGTGAATGGAAAAGAAAGAGTGGGAGATACAATCTGGTTGCAGGTGTATGTGAATGAGATATGCAAACGCGAATGGATTGAATTGGTGACTTCTAGTTCAAAATAAAATGGTATAACAGAGATAAAGATGTAATCAATCAATTTATGATATTTCAATTATCGAAAAATAATTAATAGAAAAATTATTTGAGCCTAGTCTAATTGAACATAGTTGATTCTCTCCACATCATGGGGACAAATTTTTTCAAAGACAATGCTTGATTCTTTTGTAAAATGATAACTTGGCTTGAATAATATCTGGGGATCTCTGTGGATTTTCAAAATATTAGGGGATGTCTTGTGTAATTAGTGTAATCTACAAGGGCCTACCCTTGATATTTACTGGAAAGAAAATCCAAAAAAAACTTGTAATCCAACTAAAAGGTAACATAAGTGGTTTAGTGGTAGGTTGTATCCATTTAAAGTCGTTCATAACTTTAACATGGATATCAAGTACGGTTCGATTTACATGAATAACACAATTTTGTTGCTTTAACTTTAGTGGTATTGTGGTGATGAACTGTTTTTTTGAGTTAGTAACTCTGGCTCAAATTGAACATTCTACAGTGGAGACCTTCATAGTGACAACCAAGGAGTTAGTATCCGGTTGCCCTCCCCTTTTTGTTGACAAAAAAAAAATTAAAAGCTAACCAGTTATAAAAATAAAAATAAAATAGGGTTAATCGCAAAACTATATCCTAAAAGATCTTTCAAATCTCAATTTATACTTTCAAATATCAAAAATCTCAATTTACACCGTAAAAAATATAAATATATATTAATGTGCAATCTCAATTTGCACCTTAAAAAATATAAATATGTATCAATATGCACCGTAAGCTAATATCCATTAGTTTGCCGGTCTAAATCTAAATCGATAAATTATACCTAAACTCCCTCAAACTTATTATTTAATCACTAGATTTTATCACATTTAAAATATTACACCTACACCCCTAACACTTGTGCACATGTAACACATAATTCTCTATCGCCAATATCTATTAATGTAATTGTTAAAAATCATTATGTCATCTTAATAAATAACTATAATTTCTATACTATTTTTTATTTTGTGAGTCCATTACACTTTAAATTCAAAATCAAGTTTACCCTTTATATGTCTAATATAATGTAGGTAATATATAATGTTCAAGAGTGCTAGTAATATATAATGTTCTTTATATCCAATGTAATACATCACTTTAACATAATTAATTGGATGCCCAATTGGAGAAACTCTTTTAGTTATATTTGGATTTTTAGGGTGTATAGGTGTAATATTTAAATTTGAGGGGTCCAGATAATTAAATGATAAATATGAGGGGGTCTAAGTATAATTTATTTATTTAGCTTTAAACGGTTGTTAGCTTCAGGTGCACATTGATACACATTTATATATTTTGGGGTATAAATTAATTTTTTTTTATTTTTGAGAGTACAAATTAAAATTCAAGAGATATTTTGGGATATAATTTGTGATTAACTCAAATAAAAACAAAAGCTAAGCATATGCGACCATTGACCAGTTCACCAAAGCGATGCTGACGAGACCGTGAAGCAGCACAAAGAGTGCTCTTCTCTCTACTTGTCCTTGCAGGTATACACGTATGTATATTTGTATATGTAATAAATAAATACATAAAATTATCCGATTTTCTCGATTCATTGCTTCTAAAGCCCTAAACTCAAATGTCTTTTTTCCCCATGTATTGCAGGATTGTCTTGTCAAAACCAACAGGAATTGGAGGTCTTGCCAAAAAGGTGTGCCTTCATTTATCCCAATTTTGCTTACTGTCTCTCATTTTCATTTTAGAATTAAGATTTCTTCAAAGTCCGCTATGTGTGTGTGATCTTTGGTCCAACGGTATGCCTCGGCTTGTGAAAGCAAGTATGTTGGATTGTCTTGTCAAAACCAACAGGAATTGGAAATCTTGCCAAAAGGTTTTGCATTTATTTATCCCTAGTTTGTTTAAGCTGTCTCTCATTTTCATTTCAGAATTAACATTTCTTCAAAGACAGCTGTGTGTGTGTGTGCTTATACCCAGTAAAGCATGTATGTTTATGTTCTTTACATATATAGTATGTCTTTCGAAAACCAACAAATTTGAAGTATTGCCAAAAGGGTATGCCTTTATTTCTCCCAATTTTGTTTTAGCTGTCTCATATTTTCATTTTAGAATAACAATTTCTTCAAAGTCCACTGTTTGTGTGTATGTGTGCATGCTTATACACAATAAATATGTTTGCGTTGATGTTCTTTACATTTTTGAATTGTATAGTCAAAGCAAACAAATTGGAAGTCGTGCTTAAAGGGTATGCCTTTATTTATCTCAATTTTGTCTACGGTGTCTCTCATTTTCATTTTAGACTTAAGATTTCTTCAAATTCCTCTCCGTGTGTGTGGAAACATACACTTCTATGTTCTTTACATTTTTCAGAATAATGATTAATTTTTTTTAAGGTTGTTTTAATTATTTGACAGAAGTTCAAGCTTTAAAGTCATGCAATGAAAAAAGAAGCAATAACAAGAGGGAGTGAGAATTTTGTGGCCTAAGAAGCTGTGGCATTTAATTTACCATAAATTATTACATCACCCTTCTTATCATTTGTTTGACATCTTGGGTTTTGGTTTTGATTATCAGAATGTAAGGACATGCAAAATGATAAATCTTTTTTCTTTGATCTGATATGTGCATTTTCTGATCATTTCACATTGATCACTGCCCAATGGTGTTCATTAGTAAATGATTTGTTTGTGCTTCCCTTCTTTTTTGTTTGGTTGAAAATTGTTCAATTTTGCTTGATATTTTCACATAAAATTGGTGAGAATTTGGGATCTGATGATTTTGAGAGAGCAGGCCTCAACATAGATTACTCCATTGTGATATTAGCATAATGTGTTCAATCACTGAAAAGCCTCTATGCCTGCAGCATAATACTGCATACATATGACCCTCCAAGATGGTGTAGCGACAGGAACCATTTGGCTGTCCCTTTTTCAATTCATTTTTTTCGATTCATTGCAAACATTTTGTTTGTGATGAATTTTATATCCTTCATGGATAAGTATCTGTGACTTTATTAAATGACATATCTTAAAGCTATATCTCTTTTGGCATATTCGATGGCATACTGCACTGAATTTCATGTTTCTGCAATAGGAATCTGGCTATAAGAATGACATCTGAAGATGCCCTTCACACATGTTAGCAAGAAAGAAGACAAGAAAAGCTACTTGAAGCATGAAGGAATAAAGATTAGGGAATGGAAGGGGAATCCACTAAAGGCTGATTACTTTAAAGGGTATACATGTTGAAGAATATTGTGGTAGTCTACATGTTAAAAGTACAACATCAAATTTTAGTTGTAAAATAACAATAACTGGGGAAATGGCTGATGGAACCATGACATAGCTTATGGTATAAAATACATAATTGTATTGAATTAGGAAAACTTAGTTTCCAAAAGAATGTCTACCTTCATCCTGATGTTCATCTGATAATGTTGAGTCTTTGCCGGGGTTTGAGTCGCAGAAACAACTTCTCTGCTTAAGGCTATGTATATTTAATTCTTCTCAGACCCCGCAATGGCGAGAGTCTCGTGCACTGAATATATCTTTTATGCCCTAGAGCTGAATCTTTTGGTCTAAAAACAAGTAGAGTCATCTACGCTTTCTCCTTTTCCTACCAATGAACAAAACAGACTCCTCTCACACTCGAGGCTCCTACAATTGCTTTCACTTGAAGAGGCCAACTTGCGCCATAAATACTAGTGCACGATTTTGAAGAATTTAGAAAATAGAAGAAAAATAGAATTAGGAGAAAGAGACCCACTTTGAAGGGAGTGGAAACTTTTGTTAGTTCACTTGGAGGAAAACTTCACCTTCCAAATCTTTCAAATACAAATAGATAATACCTAAAAGATAACTACAAAATGTCTTGACCTCATTACCTAGATAATTACCAAAGAAACTTATTAATACTATATCGCCAACTTATTGACCAATCCAAACTCCTATTATTAACTTACAAAAATATAATAAAAATAGGCACCTAACAATCCTTCCCCCTTAAAAAAACTTTGTTACCAAAGTTTTTTTTTTATTGATCACGGAAAATAAGGAGGAGACCAACCCACTACCATTTCTTCATAACAGACAACTTGATCACTATTTTTACCTTTAATAAGGGTAAAATAATTGTCTTCATCTGAATGGCAGCATTAATCTTCAAATTATCAAATTTTTTGTCTCACTTGCTCCAATGTTGACAATCACTTTGCTTGATGCCTCATCAATTCCTTTCGATTTTTTCTCATCAACAAAGCTGTAACCTTCATGGCTAGTTGATTGATGATGATGGTTGACATTTAAATTTCTCTCTTGAAGGATTTTTTGAATTTTGTTGAACCTTCTAGCATGCGTTTATTTTCTTCAATCAATTTATTGAACGAATTTTGAAAATTATCACGCATCAACTTCAAAATCGCTAATGGTATAACCATTAATAGGATTGTCGACTCTGATACTAGTTGTTGCATGCACGATTTCGAAGGATTTAGAAAATAAATAAATACAGAATTAAGAGAAAGAGACCCACTTTGAGGTGGGTGAAAACTTCCATTGATTCACTTCGAGAGGAACCTGACCTTCTATACATTTCACAAGAAAATTTATCACAAATATCTCATATCCTTTTCATTCATCTTGTTTTTAAATACAAATAGACAACACGTGAAAGGTAACTCCAAAAAAAAAAAACTATCAATACTACATCACTAACTTATTGACCAATTCAAACTCTGATTACTGACTTTAAAAAATATAAAAAATAGGCACCTAACACATAACATGACTTCAGGTTTATGGATCACACCTTGCATGCATATTTTAGGCTTAGCATTAAAATTTCTATAGCGCGACTTTGGCAGGACCCTACCAGAGGGAGTGACATGATTCACATCGATATTATTGATTTCAATCATGCAACTGTAGTGGTAAACAGGTCCGTGTATGAGGTTCAGTTTTGGCAGGAAGAGGAGGAAGGTTTTTTTCGGTGAGCACTCTTTATTGTGTACAAGGTACAGTGCNGATATTATTGATTTCAATCATGCAACTGTAGTGGTAAACAGGTCCGTGTATGAGGTTCAGTTTTGGCAAGAAGAGGAGGAAGGTTTTTTTCGGTGAGCACTCTTTATTGTGTACAAGGTACAGTGCNAGTTTAAGTATAATTTATTTATTTAGCTTTAAACGGTTGTTAGCTTCAGGTGCACATTGATACACATTTATATATTTGGGGGTATAAATTAATTTTTTTTTATTTTTGAGAGTACAAATTAAAATTCAAGAGATATTTTGGGATATAATTTGTGATTAACTCAAATAAAAACAAAAGCTAAGCATATGCGACCATTGANGCTGATTCACTGATTCCAACCCAACATAACATAGTTAGGAGAAACTGAGCTACCAACTACCGTGCAATCAATGTTTCCTTACTCCAATATATACTTACCAATCACGATAAAATTTGAATCAGATTTTGCAGTTTTTTCTCCTACAATACCTCGACGAGCGTGAAAGGGATTCAGGAATCAGTTACCTAGTGATATTTCTCTTGAAAATGATTCAAGTAGATGTACTCATTGNCCCCCATGTATTGCAGGATTGTCTTGTCAAAACCAACAGGAATTGGAGGTCTTGCCAAAAGGGTGTGCCTTCATTTATCCCAATTTTGCTTACTGTCTCTCATTTTCATTTTAGAATTNATACTCCAATACATACTTACCAATCACGATAAAATTTGAATCAGATTTTGCAGTTTTTTCTCCTACAATACCTCGACGAGCGTGAAAGGGATTCAAGAATCAGTTACCTAGTGATATTTCTCTTGAAAATGATTCAAGTAGATGTACTCATTGAGAGTCCTAACAGAGAAAGCATTTACATTCCACACAGTATATATNAAAACCAACAGGAATTGGAAATCTTGCCAAAAGGTTTTGCATTTATTTATCCCTAGTTTGTTTAAGCTGTCTCTCATTTTCATTTCAGAATTAACATTTCTTCAAAGACAGNTGAGAGTCCTAACAGAGAAAGCATTTACATTCCACACAGTATATATGAATACCAAACAACAAGGAGTCAAGACACTGAAACAAGGGTTTTATTGGGTTTTTGTCCATCACATGCCATACCAGTTTTCACATACCTAAATAAAGATGATAACTAAAAAAGGCACAAGATGCTTGCTTTTGCATTCAGGCTTCATTGTAGTTTTCAAAAAAGGAAGCAGATCATTCCTGAGGGGCAAACTTGATGGAAACACTGTTGACACAATGGCGCTCATCAGTAGGTGTTTGATATCCCTCGCCCTTGAAGACATGACCCAAATGTCCTCCACAAGCTGCACAAGTAATTTCAGTTCTCCTTCCATCTGGGTCCGGCTGAATTTGCCGTTTTGCAATTCAAAGATTACACATTACATTAATGTAGTTGAGATACTGAACATCAACAACAAATAGAGTAGATACTCACTGTGCGATTTATGGCTCCAGGGAAGCCCTCATAGAAAGCAGGCCAACCACATCCAGAATCGAATTTCGTTGTCGACTTGTAGAGTGGAGTTCCACAACCAACACAATTATAGATCCCTCCATCGAAGAACTTGTCGTACTCCCCAGTGCCTTTTGACCTATATACATCAAAGCAACATGACAAACATATGCGAAGAAGTGTAGGAATCAATGGGCTCCAATATGATTCTGCTATAAGAGAGAATCAATTAGAATAGGTTGCAGGCTGATGGTCTTAGCATGCAGTTCTTTAACAGGTCAACTCAGTTTTGAAGTCAACTGTGGATTGTGCATCCACAAACATAGAAAGCCACATAAGATAACCCAAGCTGAGCTGTTTATTATAACCAGTAGCTGCATTTTCTTGCTGATATGCACCAGTGCAAGGACTCGATAATGTTAATGTGCCTATTGTTCTGTCGTGGAATATTCTGTAACTGATCAAACTATCTGTATGTTTACGTGGCACAAGCACACATGCATACAGAGAAAGATCCTTTGGTTGCATTCCTTCCTTTTGCAAATCAAATTCAAAGTTGAGGTAGCTTGCCCTATAATACGAAAATTGGGTGGTTAAAGTATTTGGCAAATTTTCAAAGGAGATGATGAGAAGGAAAACACCTTAAAACCCTTTGCAGCACCAGTAGTTGAAGACTTGAAGTTACATGAACCATCCATTGAGTGATATAATATAGGATATCTACTTAACAAAGATGACATAATATAGGATTGCGTCATCAAATGGTGTGAATAACCCAAGTAAATATGTAGAAGGCTTTCTTAAGCAAAAGAAAAGGCGGGAGGAGAATCCAGGGGAGACCATTTTGTATGCCTTTTTAGGAGTCCATATAGATGTACCTCTAGGAGAAGATCATGCCCGCAGAATAACAGAGGAATGAATAAAACAGGAAAGTGATCCAAAATTACTTGCACAACCAAAACCAATGGATTCAAAAAACTTGAGGAAAAAGTAAAATGGTTCAACTCATAAGCCTTACAGGGCAGACGGAGACAACCAAAACAATTTGGTTGCAAGGAAGGAGAAGATGTCCTTAGTTTGGTTTAATGGATCTCAAGCCCCTTTTATTTACTGGCTTTACAAGAATAATTGTACATCCAGATTAGTTAGAAGATAATCTTTTTCCAAGTTTGTTACTTTGTGAATGCAAAGTGCAAACTGATGAACTACTCATGCACAATGGCACAATACAAACAAAGGCACTACACACTGGGTTTTGGATGTATATATACAACTGGTACAAGATTCCATGACAATTAGATTTCTGCATGTTAATTCATACATATAAGTCATAGATGAACGAGATCTGAGATCTAACTAGATGTAAAAACAGAGCAGAGAGAGAGAGAGAGAGAGAGAGAGAAACAGATTCTATTTCTTCTTTATCAAGTTACAAAATCCTTTATTTCAATTACATTGATGCCCTATATATATACACTCAAGAGAGCTCTTAACCGACTAACAACTTGTACAGCTGACAGCTCCTAACTACCTGCATGTAATCTGAATTACAGCTAGATGGTCCTAAGCTGCATCAGATAACTAAGGAGGATCATATATTGTAGAATCCTTAATATTCCCCCGCAAACTGATGGGAGAAGATCGAAACATCAATTTGGTTCTAAGAGCAAGAAAATGTGGGGAAGACAAGCCTTTAGTTAAGATGTCAGCAAGTTGATCATCACTAGAAACATAATTGACTTGAATATCCTTGCGAATCACCTTCTCCCGAATAAAGTAAAAATCAATTTCAATGTGTTTGGTGCGGGCATGGAAAACCGGATTAGAGGCAAGGGCAGAGCTGATAAATTGTCACACCAAATCATAGGAGTAGCCGAGATGAACACATGAAGATCACATAGAAGTTGTCTACACCAGTATACTTCAGCCGAGGTATTTGCAAGGGCCCTGTACTCTGCTTCAGTGGAAGATCTTGCGACAATAGATTGTTTCTTAGAGCC